CACACACACACACACACACACACACACACACACACACACATACACATACACATTCACCCAAACATTATATGACATTATGTACAGTAGATCTATACCGTGACTGAAGCCAATCCAGAACGTTGGACAAAGTGTATATCCTCCTCGTATACGATATTTCACCATCTGTTTGCACGATTTCAATGGTCAAACGTTTGGATTACAGAGATCTGCATTATATAATATTAAATCATCGACCGACTGTCACATCACTTTCAATAGTGGTACTTATCATTTGCATTACACATTGCGAAACTATAAATCATCTTCACTCTACATAGACTAGATATCTAGCAAATAAAAGTATTGACACAGTTGGAATGATTCACTGTGCACTGTTACCGGCTGCTTTTTAAAAAATCAGTTTAAAATATAATAATGTTCATTTCAACACAAAAAGACAGCACTGGGGCTTTTAAAAAATAGGTGATTTTACGCCCCCATCGACACAGTTTAAATCATTCGGGTCACGGCCAACCGGGACTGAGAAGGGAAACAACGTCTCAGCAGAAAGAATGAGCTTGCTAAAAATCCCCCCCCCCCAAAAAAAAGCAACAACAACAACCCACCAACAAACAAACAACAAAAACCAACAACCCCAAAACAAAACATGCGAATCTGACAAGGGTCTTCTGCGTGCGACAGCAAAGCGTCTAACCGCTACACCATACACGTTGGCTCTACGGACTTACCTTAACTTTACCATATCATTCTATATCATAAAAATATGAAATTATTAATTATCAAGTCCAAGGAAATTCCCAGCGCGAAACATGGAAACAAAATTGATTCACAGTAAAGTTAACGGTTATTGGTTGATAGCAACTTAATTGATTAGGGTTAGGGGTGCTGGTAGGGGTAGATCTAGACTGAAAGGATAAGGGTAGAGTTACGGTTAGGATAATATATTAAAAATACATAGATCTAAATAGATCTTGTAATTGTTAGGATCAAAACCGGATTATCCAAATATTTATAATCAGACACAAGAGATATACATGGAGCAAGCTTACCGTCAAAACGACTTGCTGCACCAACTCGAACTCTGTATGAAAACACAAAGCCGGGCACTTTTACGACCGTGCACCCAAAAAGAATGCTGGCGATTGAAACACAGAATAGTAAACACAGCTAGAAATCTAGTGAGCAACGCAGCCAACCAGGAAGGGAGCAGTGAGTGAGCAGAGCGCGCGTGTTGAAATAGCAGCGTGAGTACTTGACTCAGGCCTTTGGAGAAGCCACCGGGGCACACGCTCGCGATAGGATGGATGGAGGGTCACAGACACAGACACAGGCTGTGATATGTATTCGCTATCTGCAGACGAGATCTGCGAACTGACGCGGTGGGAGTTGCAACCCGACTTGTTATTTCGTTCGGCCATGAACCAGGCATAGAATAAGGCGAGCGACAGGAGTTCTACATGTCGTCATAGGAATGGATGGTCACACACATCATCCAAGACCAGATCTGCGACAGACATCGGCGACCACGATTCTCCGTTCATTCCTTTGCTCGGATGCTCTTAAAAAAGCTACCTATGCAAGGACTAATCGTGTCTAAAATTCACATAAAGGAGGGGGACAAATAGAGAAAGAGAGAGAAGGGGAGAGGGAGAGAGGGAGAGGGACACACACACACACACACAGAGA